AGAAGTTGCTGTTCTCTCCACGCCAATCCCCGATGTGGAACCTTCGCCGACCACTTTGACTCCTCCGATTCCCCAGTCACCTCTTGCCGCTGCCCCTTTAAATTCCCCAGCCGAGACCAATGAAGTACCTAAGATCGAGGAATTCCATAAGCCAGCCCTTGGGACACAGCAGGCCCCGGTGGCTTCTCAGGCCCCGAAGGCAGCTACCGAGGTCGCCATCGCAACTCCTGTCGTTATAGCTGGTCCACTTACTGATAACGACTCGGCCCAGCCTGACAGCGAAATGGACTGGCAGACAGATTCTAGGCAGACTTCTCAGATCGCTGAGCCAGAGTCTGATGAGCGCAGCGACAAAATGGATGAGGATTCTCCTCTGAAGCTTTGCTCGGTATCCGACTTTGAAGACGGCTCTGTTTCGGGCTCTGACCTTGCACCTCCCACGCCCTCACCTGCTCCTCGTCCGACTGGCCCTCAGCCGCAACAGGTACCGGACGAAACAATGTTCGATGCACCCCGGATCCGTCCTAACCGCGAGCTTGAGATGGAAGAAGCTGCCGTGCCTTCGGCAGACCGTCCCAACGTCCAGATTCAATCTGCTCCTGAGGCTGTAATGATAGACGTCCCCGGCCCCGCAGGCTCTGAGTCCAAGTTGAGAGAAGTCCCAGAGAACAAGGAAAGGGAGTGGTCCTCGCCCCCGGTATCCCCTTCTGTAACCTGGCCTAGCCCCCCTCCCGAGTTCGTTGAGATCGAAAAGGTTCCCGTCATCGTCAGTCCCGAGCAGGAGTTGGAAAAGTCGCCGGAGGACGTCGAGGAAGAGAGATCCTCCTCTTCGGTATCTCTTCCAGCCCAGGCCACTTCTACTCCAGAGGTTGTGGAGGTTGAAAAGGTCCCCGTTGCCGCAGCTTCTGAGCCACAGATACCAAAGAAGCCCATAAGAATCAAGTTCGTCAAGAAGGCCGCAAGTCCGTTGATGACTCCGGTTCGACCGAAGACCAAGCCTGCAGCAGCACAGTCTACTTCTTCGCCCAGATCCGATGCAGAAAGCCCTGACGCCTTGGTTGTCCAGGCCCCTGACAACTGGAAGTCTACCGCAAAGGCGGACACTGGGTCGAAGATCGTGCTGTTACCAGTGAGCTCATTCAAGTCAGCCTCTCAGTCAAGAACAGACCTCCCAATGGATAGCGCCGGATCTCGCAGGCAGAGCCCGCTGTCTAAGACAATCAACGAGCCTAAGCCAGACGCTCCCGAAGAGCCTGAGAATAAACCGCCGTCTCCCATCGTCACTCGTGCGCCTGAGCCCCCTGCGCAATCTCAAAGAGAGACAGCGACAACTACGACAACCACCGAGCCAAAGCCAGACGCGCCCGGAGAGCCCAAGGACAAGTCACCCTCTCCCACCGTCCCTCAGACGCCCAAACCACCTGTGCCTGGAAGTGGCCTCCTCGCAACGCCTCTCACGATTCCTGGTCTTTCATGGCCTGCGCCGCCCCCGCCAATGCCCTCGGTGACGCAAACGCAGCAGCCCCTCGTCCTTCGAGACCTGTCTCCAGAGCCCGAGGAGGTGGGACCCGAGTCTGACGACGACTCAGACAGCGAGGTAGAATTCCTAGGAATTGATGAGTATATCCCGCCGCGAAAGATCTTGCCGCTCCGTCGCCGTCGTTTGGAACTGGCTCTGGGGCCGGCTCCGACTACTGAGGCCTCAACCTCCGAGGCTCCTCCTTCTCGATCGTCAACGCCAGAGTCCGAGACCTTATCAGAACTCCCCTCAGACTCGGACGACGACCAGGCAATGTCTGAGGACGAAGAGCCTGCCCCTCGGAAAATCGCCCCGTTGCGTCGGCGTAGATTGGGAGACGATGAAACGCAACGCGCACAGGCACAAGAGCATGCGTTCCGCAAGAAGAAGCTACAGGAGGAACAGAACGAGTTGGACGAGAAAGCGGCCAAATTCCGGGCTCCGCTGCCACTTCCCATGGTGCCAGCCCCTTTCGTCGTTCGTACTACGCCTTTGAAGTTCAATCCCTTGCCTGCGCCCGCTCCCAGCCCTGCGTTACTTGCCGTCGCTCCCTCTCTTGAAAGAATCGTGGTAGTGATTGGCTCTCCAGAGGTGGAGGATGAGCTGAAGAAATCTCTGGAACCGTTGTGGGACCTCATCGATTCTGACCAGTTGAAGATGTATGGACCCAAAAGCCTCACGCAGCTGGCTATCAGAAGATGGGGCGAGCTCATGGAACACAAGCGGTATAATAGGGGACAAAGCATATTTCAAAGTATGTTCGATGATCTCATTGACAAATGGGTCGGATTGGTTGTGACGGAAACTTTCGTCGCTCACCTCATCGTACCCAATGATCCAGAATCACAAGCTGAGATTATGGACCCATGGCTCGAGAAGATCAGAGAAGCCCGGAAGACTGAGCACTCTCAAGACAATATACCGAGAGACCAGTGAGATATCGAGGACCGCAAGATTGAAGAAAAAGAACGAAAAGACCAAAAAAAAAGTCCCAAAATCACAAAATCCGGAAAAAAAAAAAAAACCGAGCACGCGTACGACCTTACTTACGAAGTTTCTTGAGATGAGATCATGAGAGCAGGTAATGGAAGAGGGATTCGAGGAGAGAGAAAAAGAAAACACCAAAAAAAAGTCTCAAAATCACAAAACCCGAAAAAAAAAACACCCATCCACCTGTACCACGGCCACATAGCACCAGAGAGACTGGAAGACGGAGAGCGACTGACGCGATGTTTGATTACCGACGTACGAAGAGTTTGCTATGTTTGTTCGGATTACCTATTTTTCACCTTTGTCCAGCCATTTGTACCACCGCCACCGGCAGCGCGATTCGCCTGACCTTCGCCTTCGTCGATAGCCCAAGCATCGTCCTCGAGAACCTCCCACTCCGGAACAGCAACCTCACTGACAAGTTTCTTCTTGAGCCTATCAGCAAGCTTCAGGGGGGTGGGAAGCTTAAAACCGCGAATGAATTCAGATCCCTCTGCGCTGCCGAGGAAAGCATGAGCTGTGCCGTGGGAATACCGTCCCATCCACGAGGGAGCTTTGCCGAGCTCTTCTTGATCAAGCGCATCGTGCTTCGCTCCGGGTGACGAAGTTGCAGGTGGATAGAGACGGCCAGTCTGGGTGCTATGGAGTTGTTGGCCAATGAGCAAGTTGTACAAGTTGCGGCCCATATGACACACATCCTCAAACGAGTTACGATCTCCTACAAAGACGCCCTGAGTGCTGCAGGCCCAAGCAATATCGTACGCCAGCAACGTCACGCCCTCCAGAAACAAGGAATGAGCAGCGGGGTCTTCCTTGGCGAGTACGGGCAAAGTCTTGTCGACGAAGAGAGGCCGCGGGCGAGGCATGTAGTGCGGCTGGCTCTCGCGCTCTTCTGCTGAGAAGCTGGTGACGGGCGAGGTTCCAGGAAACGGTACTTCACCATGCTGATACGAAGAGGAAAGATTGAAGATGGTCGGGCGCGGATAGTCTCGATGCGGCAGTGTTATCTCTGCCGGGAGCCTAACCGATAGGTAATGACTTGTCAAAGCCAGGATATGGGCGATGTTGGCGAGAGAGGTGGATAAGAGTTCAGGCGATATAGCTGTCAAGGTCAGTTTGAGTGTTACTCGCCAACTTTGGAGTGTTGATACTGACCATTCATAGATGAGAGATCGACGATGTCAACGCCCCCAATTTTGTACTCATACCGAGCGGATGATCCCTTCTTGATGCGACGAAGTCCATACAGCTTGGCGGCTTCCATGCACAAGAAAGATCGAGTCGACGACATCTGGTCCGCACTTCGGGTCCATTTGTACTTGGCAACCGAGATGGAGCGTTCAGTCTCTTCCAGCTGTCTAGTTCTCCGAGCAGCTATACCACTCGATGCAGATGCAAGATCGGATTTGCGGCGAATGAGGGCGGCTTTGCGATCAGCAATCTCCCTTCTGGCGGCGGCAATTTCACCCTTGAGTTTCTCAGCTTGGGCGATGATCTGTTCAGTGCGGTCTTCGGCCGATCTTTGAGAGGCACTCAGCGACTCGAGAATAACACTTCGACCAGGGCCATCATCTGCCTTGTCCTGAGCTAGCAGATCGTTGATCTCCTTTTGGAGAGTCTCATTCTCCATCAGCGCCTGGAGATTCTTGATGCGACCATCATAGCAGTGGTTGCGAGCATCGACGGCACAGAGAAAGGGAAGACGCTGGGCATTGTGAAGCCTACAGCAGATGTCGCAATTCATTTTGGCGATTTTCTGGTCGAGTCTAGGCAGGCGGCGACTCGAGATGTGATACGACAGGGCGCATGCACAGAGCGTTGTTCCCTCCGAATGACGTTTGGTATTTGAGTTTCTGGTAAGTGGATCTTGGAGAGAGAGAAACCCCCCAAGGCCTTGGAAGGAATCACCGACTTGATATATACGCCGACTCTCGGAAAGCAAGGTGCGTCGATCGGGGCGTTCAGACGACCTGTGAGTGGCAGGTCGCTTGAGTCGTCGGTCGAGTCACGGGTACGAGGTCGGGTGAGAGACAATGAATGGGCCAGAATGGGAAACACTCGACTGCCGTTGGTGTTGGCGCAAGCGGACTCCGACAGGCAGCAGGGGTGACCCCATGGGCCATGGCACCCTCCCCATGTCCCTTCCTGCGCCACACTTCCTTCCCTTGGCTCTTGCTTCCCTCTTAGCGCCACACTTTCAACTTTTGGCAGTCAGATTGCTAACGTCCCTTTGGCAGGCAGGAAACACCAGCCGTACCGCTACATGAGCCACTTGCCGTACTTACCTCCCTGAAGCGGTAGTAACACCCTGACTTCCTGCCTCTCTCTAAACCCGAAAATCAACAGCACTTTCAAGGCGCACCAAAAAAAAAAAGACTTCCATACACAATCAAGAAAAAAAAGAACAACAACCTTCACCATCCAATTTCTCAGCTTGTCTTCTCTTGATCCCTCCACTTCCTTGCACAATTTCTCAGGCCCATCAGCAAACATGGCCGACGCGGGAAACAACCAGCAGCAGAAGGCTAAGTCCCTCCAGACTACCAAGACACCTGAGCCTCGTTTGGACCAACAACTCGCCAACGATCATGACAACGGCAACAACACCCCCAGCACTCCGGGTATCTTTCCGGCTTTTGACTGGGAGGATTTCGAAGCCCGATACGAGAAGGCTCTCGCCGATGCAGACGATAAAGAGCGCGAGCTTTTGCTCGAATTCGACGGTCTTGTCAAGGTATGATACGATGCCCGCTTTTTTCCAACTTACAGTCTTGATGACCGTCATTCTACAGTACTTCAACGTCTGGGCATCCACTTCCAGCGCCCATGACAATGAGCGCGCAGTTAAGCGCCTTCATACCAGACAGAGATTTGTCAATCTGGAGGAACAGAACATGGCTCAGAAACAGGAGCACAGTAAGTTCTTCATCATCATTGTCTCGCTACCAAGTGCATCCGACTAACAACTCATTTACAGTGACTGAGGTTCTCCGGGCCTTCCAAAGCGCCCTCGCCCTCTTAAGCAAGTCTTAAGTGCCCTCAAGGCTGGAGGCAGGAAGGGCAATCACAATCTTTGATTATCTGTGCAAAATACTGCACAAAACACATGTTCGACTTTCCAAGCAGGAGCGCGCTGGTTCGCGTCCCCTTCCCACTTTCCCTGAGTGATGGTGGTGAAGCGGGCCCCACACGTGATCCAAGCTCCCGGCGCCCAACGCGTTTGATCCCGCGGTCCTCCCATCCAAATATTCAGCTTACCTATTTCCTTCCTACAACAATTTCCTTCTCTCAAATCTTCCTCCACCCAACTTCCTTCCTTCAACATACATCTACATCAAATCTTCCCTCATTCAATCAACTTTCCCACAAAACACCCACACAAAATAAAATATCCAAGAAGCATCACATCAATCCACCAACCTCAAGCTTCCACCCAAGCTGGCTGGCCCGAATGATTCCATCGTTTGCTGCACCAAGCGTCAGCAATGTGAGTACCTCATCGATACAATTCAGTCTTCATACTGACTCTCATCACAGAACGACTTGGTAGCATTCTTCGAGGCTCATTTCTCTGGTGCGGCAGTCCGCAATTTTCAAGCTGATTTTTTGAATCCAAATCATCAGCCGGACGCCGCAACCGCCAATGCCTCAGTCGAAGAAGATGGCGACGTCTTCGAGGAAGAAGACGATCTTGGCTACTATCACGACGGCGTCAAACGCACACTCACTGACGACCAAATCGCCATGTTTCGCCATTCTGAGCTCGAAACCATCAAGCGAGAGCAAGAGCGACGTTCAACGGCAGTACGCCAGGCAGGTGAGACTGGCGAGGATGGCACCCTTCGGGCTGCCGAGCCATCTCGCCCGCCAGGCAAAACTGCTAAGAACAAGAAGAAGAAACGGGGGAAGGGCAAGGGCCAAGAGCCCAAGCCCGACCTCCGCAAACGCACATGGGATGTGGTCGAGTCGGGGCTTGACACCCTCGACTACGATTGACATTCCACCGTCATCAACGCTCGGGCTGGCTGCCTCTGGACGGGGATCTGTATGCCATCAGTGTTCACTCCTAGACCTTCTGGTGCCGGAAAGAACCATGCGGTTATTGACCCATGGACCTTCTGGTTACCAGAAAGAACTAGGGGTGTGCCACTCCTAGACCTTCTGGCGGCTGGAAAGAACCATTGGGTCAGTGACCCGTGGACCTTCCGGTCGTCGGAAAGAACTAGGTGTCGCCACTTTTTGTATACAGACACGATCACGCACTCCCAGCTTTTGCCACCACGCTGGGGATTTTCCCTACGCTCGCGCAACGTGCTGCAGCGCCTTGTGCACTCAGCACCGTTCTAACTGTCGCAGAAATTGGGAGCCTCACACACGTTCTCATATCTGCTTGACGACCTGAACGCTGACGTCGAGGCAAATGCCTCCGTCGGTTCGCGGGGCTTGATGTGCGGGAATCCACCAAAATCCACTGTCATTGAAGGTATGCTCATTTCTCTCTCATCTTTACCCAAATACCCCGTATGCTATGATGAAAACCTTGTATCGTCATCCTTAGTCGGATCCATTGCCAGAGCTGACTACTGCCGGCCAATTCCGGCGCCTGAGTCGCACTGAGCTTGGACATGTCGAGCAATAATCTTCTCTCTGACAGCATTCCATCGCACTTCTTGGTCTTCGCAATTACTCGAGTCAAGGGACATCTGCTAACATTGGTTCCCAGGTCAATTCGAACCAGGAATGGATTGCCTCGTGGCAGCATGGAAGAGGTGTTGGATGCTGGATGGCGATATGGGAAGAGGCATACGATGCCATACAGGAAGATGAGAAGAGGCATAGAATACCCACATTGGGATGGCAGAAGTGGCCTTTCGAGTCGTGTGGGAACAGGAAGTTGCACATGAAGGACGTGAGGATGAAGCGATGTCTCAGTGGAACAGAAAGGAATGGACATCTTGGTCTTGCGGAGGAATGATTGATATGATACCCTTGTTTGCTACTGTCGGTATGAAACGTTTTGATGATTACGTTTGGTTATGGGAAAAGGAAATACAGAATATCTGAAACTGCCAACCAAGTTTGTCTTTCGAACAAGACTGTTGCCCTGAGTTTGCTAAATTGACAACGTATCAATGATGCATGCTACCAACCGTTTGTTTGATGTTCGAGTGAGATGTTCCTGAACCATGTACGAGTCCCAATGGAGGAGAAGGTGGTCTACTCCAAGGCACTGGCTTCCTTCATAAACAGCGACTGTCTGAAACATAACTATGCGACGTCCCGTTGAGCGCTTGACTGACTTCTTATAATCACCGTAGCCATCGCGCCGAAGGAACTCTGATGAAGGTTCGTGATTCAGGTCGAGACCAAGATCCACCCAGTTGGACGGCAGGGGCGTGCACGGATCACTTGGTCTTATCGGGCGACCCGGACGATAAGCGGCAAGGCGCCTTTTCGGTCGACGGCCAATCACGGCTCCAGACCGCTAAGCCTGATTTTAGACATCCCACCTTGATTTACTCCCTGCCCCGTTCTCCCACCACCACCACCACCACCCGCTCCACGTCCAGCCAGGCTACCTCAGCCACGCCGAGACCCCTCCTCCTCGTCCTGCCTCCGCCGCAAAATCCAACCTCACGCAACATCACCACTCCGTCCCTGTTCAATCCTGCGTACAATCGTAGGCAAAAAGTCGCCCAACATGGCGCGGGTCTACGCAGATGTCAACCAGAATATGCCCCGCAGCTACTGGGACTACGATTCAGTCAACATTAGTAGGTTTTCAACCTCGCGCTTCCCACCTTGCCTCTCTCGCCCAGAGATCGACTAGGTGCATGCGACTTGCACTCGCCATACCTACCATACGTTGCCCACCTTTGCGGATTAACAATTACTGACCTTTCAATCAACAGGCTGGGGTGTTCTCGAGAACTACGAGGTCGTCAGGAAAATCGGTACGTTTGTGCTTCCGCTGAGGGTGGCCCCCGCGCCGCGCGCGCATGCGCCATACCGCCGCATACTCTGCGCGCACGAGTCGAACCGAAGAAAGCATATTTGGCTGATACAGGTCTTCAACGACAGGTCGCGGAAAATACTCCGAGGTCTTTGAGGGCATCAATGTCGTTAACTACCAGAAGTGCGTCATCAAGGTCTTGAAGCCTGTGAAGAAGAAGAAGATCAAGCGTGAAATCAAGATCTTGCAAAACTTGGCGGGAGGACCCAATGTCGTGGCTCTTCTGGACGTGGTCAGAGACTCACAAGTAAGCGAGCCCTGCTGTAAGATCAGTCGCCATGTCAGTGGGCTAATGATGCAATTTTGAATAGAGCAAGACGCCATCCCTCATCTTCGAGCATGTCAATAACACCGACTTCCGAAGCCTGTACCCCAAGTTCAACGATCTTGATGTTCGCTACTACATCAATGAGCTACTGAAGGCTCTCGACTTCTGTCACAGCAAGGGCATCATGCACCGCGACGTTAAGCCTCACAACGTTATGATCGATCATGAGAACAGAAAGGCACGTATTACGTTTGGTGGAATCCATTATGCTCTTGAAACTAACATTGGGCCAGTTGCGACTCATTGACTGGGGTTTGGCCGAGTTCTACCACCAGGGAACCGAGTACAACGTGCGCGTGGCTTCCAGGTACTTCAAGGGCCCCGAGTTGTTGGTCGACTTCCAGGAGTACGACTACAGCTTGGACATGTGGAGTCTGGGTGCCATGTTTGCCTCCATGATCTTCCGCAAGGAGCCGTTCTTCCATGGAAACTCTAACTCAGACCAACTTGTCAAGATTGCGAAGGTGCTCGGTACGGACGACCTCTTCGACTATCTCGACAAGTACGAGATCGAGCTCGATGCGCAGTATGACGACATCCTTGGTCGTTTCCAGAAGAAGCCCTGGCACTCTTTCGTCACCGCGGAAAACCAGCGCTTTGTCAGCAATGAAGCGATTGATTTCCTGGACAAGCTGCTTCGATACGACCATCAAGTACGTTGACACCACGCGGGGCGAGACTGGGCTAGAACGACATACTGACATGCAAGCAGGAACGCCTTACTGCCAAGGAGGCCCAGGCACACCCTTACTTCAACCCTGTTCGGGATCCTGAGGTTTTCAAGCAGCACTTGGCCAACCAGACCGCCTCAGGTGTGAGCAGCAACTGAGTCCAAGTCGTCGGCCAGCTTGGTTTCGCAACTACTCACACCCCACGCGACAATTTGGATCTTCCCTCTGCACATAGACTGTGTACGCAAGAGGCACGACACTGCAGGCGGCGCAGGCGGTCAATCCGGGACTGGACCCTGCAACCGCAAGCCGGCCTGGGTTCTAGACTAAAGTCCCTTTTTCCAGGTGTGAACATGGCTCGGATCAACGGGACAAGAAAGCATGAAGCGGACCTTCAAACTCCCTCAGTCTCAATACATGGAATGATTATTCGAAATGACTTTTCAAGATGGGTACCTGTTCACGGGCGACGACACGCAAGGTGGTCTGCACACATATTTTAGGCGTACAAACGTCGACCAAAGCGAGGAGCAGCGAGGACGAATGGAGAAATGTGGTGGACGACAGGAAATTTGGCTTGCGTAAGGATCTGGGTTTCACCACACTGAGGGATAAGGCGTTTGCGAGGTCCATGCCCCTTCCGTTCCAACTGCCCCTCGACATCCATGACTTTGCATAACGTGGTTTTCATGATTTTCTTTACAGAAGCTCTCTGGTATTCATCTGATGTAGCGACTAATGAGGAAGCTACTTGGCTTCCATGACCTCAATTCAAAGCCTCACATGCCCGAGTATGATGTGATTCCTAGAACTTATAGGCAAGTGAAGCAGAAGTCTCTGTCGCACCGGAATCCATCCTCACCACAGCGCCTCATATTCCCACCGGGCGTCTGCAAAAGTGAGCCCGACGGGCTGCCAAAGTGAACTCGGGTGGGCGTGGCAAACGCCCACGCCGCCTTACGCTTCTTGCCCCTGGTAGTCTCTGTGCCTGTGATGGTCGCGCCTGCCACACCCGTGTTCCCGCTCCCGGGAACGAGCGGGCTTCTCTGCTTCATGGGCGTCGTGATCTTGGTGTGCGGCCCGGCGAGGAGGACTGGGGTATAGGATGTGCGTCTGCGTTCGGCCGATGAGCCGCCGCCCGAAGCCCCTGTGTGGGTCTTGAAGAGGTCTAGAGTGAGTTCGTCTTCGTCGTCGGAGAGGAGGGAGGTGAAGGATTTTCTGTAGGTCGAGTCGCGCATGGTTCGGGGTTGGTGGTATCTCGACGATGAGGATGGTGTGCTGGGGACGGCCTTTTGGTTCTGTGTGGAATTTGGCGAGGGGCCAGAGAAGGGAGGGGGTGTAGGGGATTCCGACTTTGCGAGTGTTGATGCAGCAGACTTGCGGCCTCTTGGGTTTGCTTTGCGCTCTGAGCTGGCGGACGCGCGGGGCCTGGCGGCCTTTTTAGCCTTGGCTGGCGATTTGCTAACGGAGTACTTCTTCAAAGGACTGCTGGATTGGAGACGCATGTATTTGAAGGGCGATGTGACCGTTTTCTCGACGACTCGCGAGGACTTTGTCGGTGACGACTGACGGGGCCTTCGAAGGAGCGGCCCGAGGAGGCTTCCTCTCGGCTGTGGCGGAAGGATGGGAAGCTCGATTTCCATTCCTTCGAGTTCGGCTTCGGCTTCGGGCGCGCTTGTCTCGTCAATGTCGTCGAGACCGAGGGGGATTGTGAAGGGCTCGATGACTTCCTCGTCATCTTGCTGTGTTTCTCCCGTTTGTTGAAATTTATCGAGCTCACTTTGAGAGCCTTGCTGAGTCCCATCTTGAGTCTCCTCCTGAATTTCCTCCCGATTCTCCTCCTGGACCTGTTCTTGAACTTGCTCATCGGTCCCCTCCTGGATCTCCTCCTGGGTATCTTTCTGAATTTCTTTTTGGACATCGTCATGGATCTGCTCCTGGATCGCCTGAGCCTCCTCCAAGATCGTTTCCTCAATCACATCTTGGTTGGCGTGTGCAGGGGGGTTCTGCTCTGAGCTTTTCAGAATGTTCGGTCCCTGCGCCGCCGAGACCCCATTTTGCGATGGAGCCTCCACACCAGCCGTATTCGTTGTTTCTGTGGAGGAATGTCCTTCTATTGGGCTGATTTCAGGGAGTATGTCCGCTGATAAGGTGGTGAAGTTCACATCGACTCCGATGGACTCCTCGCCAGCTTCTTCAATTGGAAGGCTTCCTTGTTCCTCGCTAACTTCTGCGAGCGCATCGGCCTGCTGCTCAGAGATTTCGACATCAACGCCGGGCTCTATCGAAGCCATCTTGCTGGTCGCAAAGGGTTCGTCATTGCAATCCACATGAGATGGCCGGTGGTTCTCCAATGTGGGTAACTTCTCCGAGGGCCCGGACGTGGCTTCTATTCCAGGGCTCGCGACCTCGACCGCGCCTGGAATAGTACCCACCTCCTTCCCGCTGCGAAGCTTTTTGATGCGAGTTGTGGGAATCCCCTCCTCGTCATCAGAGAAGTCGTATGAGGGGTCGATCTTATGCCTGACGAATGTTTCTTTCGGAGGCTCTGCGGGGTTGACAGTTGGTGCTTTTACTGGCAAAGTAGTCTCAACCGAGCCAGCAACAGGATCGTCCACTGCCACAAGAGCTGTCGGAGTGGTCTCGGAGACAGTCAGATTAGCAAGCTGGGGCGTCAGGGCCTCATGTTGGTGATCCGAATCAAAGATGTCCACATCTTCAGGATCTTCGACTAATGTGATCTCCTCTTGGGAAGGGATCTTGGAAAACAGCTCGATAACGAATTGCTGTTTTGGCCTGTCCCGCAACTCCTGTTCCGTCACAAAACTAGTCGAGCTCTGGTCAACCTCCACTTCGGTTTCAGCTTCAGCCTGAGCTTCGGCTCCAACTTCAGTTGGTAATTCGAACGGCTGTTCTTGAGCTTGTTTTTCGGTTGGCTGACTCGTCTTGGCAGCTTCGATCTCATGAGAAGCTTCTGCTGGTTTAATAATTTTGGTTGGGATGAGTTGTCTCCTCGGTCTTGAACCTTCTTTCACAGAAGTTTTGTTCTGATTGAGCCAGCCAATCTCCCTGGAGAGGGTTTTTGATACAGGAGGTTTCGGATTTGATGGTATGGCTTCGGTAGGTGGTTCAACTTCTTGTTGATTGTTTTTGACAGAGGTGCTTACTACCTCCTCTAAGGTAGTATCCGTCTTGATCGATGACTTTTTCGCAGCCCTAGGCTCCTTACCTACAACGGCAACCCCAAGAATATCGTCTTCGTTATCGTCGTCTTGGTCGGTGAATGCCTGTAGTAACTTTGTTGACATTGGTCTCGCCATCCTCGGGACCTCGTTCCTCGCGCGGATGAGCTGCTTCATATCGATCTGAGCAGGTTCAGGTAATGCTTTCTCCTCATCGGTATCGCGACGCGAAGACCACACAGACTTGAACCCGCGACTGGCGGGGAAGCGGTATTTGGCACCATAAAGTTTCGTCATCAAGTCGTCGCCAAGTTTGGGCCTGCTGATCTCGGGAACCCTCCAAGTTGGATCGACAGGTTCTGGTTCATGTCCCCAAACATTTGAGGATGGATTCGAGGTGCTAGGTCCTGGCTGGCGCGGTTGGGCAAGGCTGGACAACCGTTGATCGGATCCTGGTATTGATACGCTTGGCGAGACATTTGCCCGGGATGGATGCCGCTGTGGTTCGCCCTTTTGCTTGATTATGAGGGCTCCTGAGTGAGATGCTTCATTCTTCTTGCCTTGTAAGATTCGTTCTTCATCGTCTTCGTTGTCTGACGCATCTGGGGTCCCATCCTCGCCCCCATCGTCTTCGCCCGAGCCGCCATCCTCCTCATCGTCGTCGGATGCAACTGCTTCCTCCAAGAGTACACCCTCATCCTCGTCTTCATAATCATCATCCTCTGGAATTCCGGTGTCTCTCTCATATCTCATGCTAGCCAAGTGGCCATTATTTGTAATGATCTTGCCGGTCCTGAGGTCGATTTCATCACCGATACCTGTAAAGTCCTTTTCGTACTTTTGGAAGATGTGCTCGAAGGTCGATTTTAGTTTGAAGGCAGCAAATGCACGAGATTGTTCGAAGCGAAAGCCGGGATCCCGCATCTGAGACACCTCCTCGGGCTCATAATTAAGTTCATCATCTTCGTCTTCTTTTGCCTTTTGATCGAGCCTCGGCCTTTTTGCAGGCGGTTCCATATTGCTGGTAAGAAGCCTTAGACCCCCGAAATCATGCCGCTTGGAGAAGGCGCTGGCTTGGAGACCAACGATTATGGATCACGAAACGGCGATGATGAGATCCGAATGAGCGTCGTCAGGGCACTTGATGAACTCGGCATGGAAGGACGCGCTTCGACGCGGTGCACGGGCGCATCAAATTCTCGCGTAAAGTGGATAGCACGGGCCACGTGGGGTGCTGCCGTTGCCAGAGGCACCCGACGACGTGGGCCACTGCACGGAGTGTACGATGAATGATCGGTTCTACCACGAGGCAAGCTTGCCCAGTTAAGGTATTCGGTCCGAGCAAATTGTTTAAATCTTCATTCTCATTTCTGATTATAGTGTCTGGGCCATGGGTTTACGAAATCAATGCTATTCGTCTTCGTTGGCCAATGTGATTTGGGCGCAAATAATCAAGAAGTTGAGCTTCACGGATGCCTAAGCGGACTACCTAATCTGTGTCACAGCAGCCTCAGTTGTTCTTGCAGTGGTCCAGAATGTCATCGAATCACCACACAACTTGGTCAAAACAAACAGAAACATGATGGAGAGTTCAGGTCGAATCGTTCTCAGCTAAAATAGAGCAAAACTGGGATGGAAGCGAAGTCTCATCGAGTTGTCAGCGAAGGTGGTCACACCCTGGGGGTGAACTTAGCGTCTGCAGGACATCCGCAGGTACCTACCTCCACTGCGCTTTAGGTGACATCACAAGACCTCCCCCTTCAACCTTCAACCCTTCATTTCGCAGCTTGCAACATGCGCGATACAGCGAAATGATTTGCCAAAAGTGCCGCACGCCGCTCAAACTGGACAGTTCCCTTGAGGAATTGAATCCTGCGGCGTACGATCTTCTCGTCGGTCAGCACAAGCTTTCCTCATCCGAACGGCGCGCGCAAGGTAGCTAACCGAACCAGCCTCTTCCTCACAACAGTCACCCAAGAAGACGCCTTCATCACGACCATATCACCCACAAGATGGCCAAAGAAAGGTGCTGTATGACAAGGTCTCGCAGAATGCAGCCTCTGCGACATTCAAGCGTCATGGCAGCGGGCCATCGAATTCGGCGCAACGAGATTCGACCATGTCCTTCATCTACCTTACCGAATCACAAGTCGCCCAGCCAGTGCTCTCCCGACCCGAACCACTGCCACCGAATACGAAATTAAACAGGGGAAATAAGGGCGGACAGAAGTCTCTTGAGGAACAGCGTGGAGGTAGTAAGGCGCACGAGATAGAACGCATCAACAAGCTGTTCGAAATTCTCTCCGCGCGATCCGATATCGACCATCCCATCTGCGTCGAGTGTACCGATATGCTCGTAGAAGGCCTTCAGAAAAAGCTTGAGGCCGCAGCGAGGGAGCGCGATGCCTACGTCGGCTTCTTGAAACAGGTGCAGAGCGACCAGCCGAACGAGGAGGATGTCAAAGCACAAGAGGAGGCTCTGAAGAAGGCAAGGCAGGCGGAAACAGGAGCTATGGCTGAGTTGCTACGCCTAGAGCAAGAAAAGGCATCTGTGGACGCGGAGATTATTGCTTTAGAGAAGGAATCACAGCAGCTTGACCACGAGGAAGAGCAGTTCTGGCGCGAGCGTAACGCCTTTGCCACCAAGCTTGCCGACTTCCAGAATGAGCGCGACAGCACAAATTCCAGGTTCGACAACGATGCTCAGCTGTTGGAGAAGCTGCAACGCTCAAACGTGTACAACGACACGTTCTGCATCAGCCACGATGGCACGTTTGCTACCATTAACGGGCTACGTCTTGGTCGATTGTCGAACAAACCGGTTGATTGGCCTGAAATCAATGCGGCATGGGGTCACGCCCTTCTTTTGCTGGTCACAGTTGCCGACAAGCTAGGCTACAAGTTCGATGGGTTTGAGCCGCAGCCCATGGGAAGTACTTCAAAAATCATTCGGTTCGAACTCCCTTCGCCAACGGCCAGTCGTTTAGGATCGCATCGGAACGCGCCACCGCCAGCTCCAAAGAAGCATGTCCTGGAGCTTTTCTCTAACGGAGATTTGCCACTGGGACTGACCTTCATGCATCGAAAATTCGATAACGCGATGGTTGCATTCCTTGAGCTCGTTCGGCAGCTTGGCGCTTTCGTGCATCGACAGACGGCAGCCGACGGCCACCCACTTAGCCTTCCCTATAAGATTGAGGGCGACAAGATCATGGATGTGAGCATCAAGCTCGGCATTGCTCAAGACGATGGGTGGACCAAGGCGTGTAAGCTCACTTTGACGTGCTGCAAATTCCTGCTTGCACACGCTAGTAACGTCAATACGAGCGCGAGGGCTGCGAATAATCAATAGTTACGGCACAATTTCGACGCATATCAATCAGGACTTGGAACATGGAGTTTAGGGGCTTTTTTGGCAGGTATAGATCAAGCGTATCATTTAGAGTTCACGGTGTATTGCTATGAAGCACATGTCACAAGAAACAGTGCATTCCCTCTTTATTGCTTCCTATCGGAGAAATACTGTCGGATACTTGGAGATGATTTCGTCATCACTGCAAGGAGACCCTTTCACCGTCGTCGAAATAGCCAACGTGCAAACTTGAGTTTGGCCTAAGGTAGCCTAGCACGTAGCACTGACAATTTATAAACTACCTTATAATAGCCTCACTGTGTGACCAGACCTGCAGCTTTGGGAAGACGAGTTGAAGTACGTGATGAAATTGCGAATGCCCCCACGTCGGAAGCTGACTGCATGCAGCTGGCCAAGTCAAGTCAGCCTTGGTAAGGTTGACGCTTGTTGGCGGCAGTCCGCGGCCATTCAGGCAGCAAGGCGCCCTCACGAAACATAAGCCGCTCGGCTGCCTTATTGTCTTACACCACGGAACACACCCATGCAAGCCTAATGCATTGTTCTTTTCCAAGAAAACCAATCAGCCATTTCGCGGCCATGTTACTTGCCTAGATGCGGGGTGAACCCTCGCCTTATCTGCTGCACCATGACCTGGCAGAGAAGACCGTGTTCCATTGGCTGCTCAGCCTGCCTGCTGCCGCCTGCCGATGAACCCGAGAGCCGCAACGAGACATGGGCGTTAAAAAGGATCGTTTCATCCACATAAGGTAGACTGCACTCCTGGTTTCTCTGGCGTCATCCAGCCTGTCTTTATTTTCTCTTATCCTACTTCTTGCCGTGTAACATCACGACCCTTGCCCAACGTACATTGCCTATCATGGGTGGTCAAGCAGACAACGTAAGATTGCCGATGGACCTCGCTTCCTAGTGGTTTTGCGCAGACTAGCTAACAAACTTTAGACGATCGATGATGATGCCGGCTCGACCGTGAGTTTCGAGGAAGTTGACTACAGGCGCCCGGCCAAAGAAAGCCACGCTTTGGTGGCTAGAGGAAGCTTGGATAGAGAGACACCGTCAGACATTCTATACGTTCTACAATACTTGGGAATCGGTGGCAAAGTCATCGACAGTAAGTCAACATCACCTAAACCTCTGTTCCGCTACAATCTGTTGACATGACTAGGTCGTGAGAGCAGCAATCCATTCAAGGAGATCCCCGACTATGGGAAGAAGGACGGCGAGACCACTCAGCGGACTGTCAATTCCGTGCTTGAGATCGTGACAAAGGTCAATACCAGTGCCAAGATCAGACGCGTGCGTCGTCGTCGATCTCCGCATATCACCTATCCCGACGATGATTACACGTCAGCGTCTTCAGACAGCGAGAATGATGAGCGCACGAAGGCCGGAAAGATTGAACGCACGCAGATGATCATCCACTCGCCGCACCTTATTAACGCATTGAGGGCTGTTGTAGCATACTACCCCAACGTCAATCTTCTGGGAGACACCGTGACCATCGATGCTCCTTACCGCGTCATCGTGCACCACCTCGATGCCCTGAGGCAGTACAGATTCCACCAGCCTGCCAGCCACTCCACCGAGTACGCTCGTCTGACGGCGAACCACATTGATGTTCTTCTGAGTTTCATCGATCAGGCTGTCGGGGAGTCTATCCGGGCTGAACAAGAACGACATCGTCGCAATGTCCCAGTTGCGACGTTCCAGAATTATTGGATGGCTCTGAAGCCAGGTGAGGTCATCTACGTCAACCACGACGACCTCTGGGAGCCCCACGTCATCAGCAGCACTTACCAGGATGTCACTTTGAGTGGTCGCAATCGCCACTTGCAGGTAGTTGCCTGGGTCCTCGAAATGGGCCACAACCGAATGAATCGAAAGATGTCCCAGTTCACCATCCCTTCGTGGACCGGCGAGCAGATCATCCCTTCTCTGAAGATCATTCCAGCTCGCTTCTTCCAGGATGACCCGCAAGCAATGCTCGAGAAGCAGTTGAGGCTCGGAAAGCTGTACTGGGAGCTTCTTCAACGCCCAACCTATATGGAGTATGATGGAATGCTTGTGCAGGCTCAGCCTGGATCTCACTCGGGCCCAATCTTCAGCCGTGGCCCATCGGGCTATGTGAGTCTTCCTGCCTAGTCCCCTTGACAAGCGACAGCAACTAAATCTGCAACAGATGACTGGTCGAGTGATTTGCGATGCTGAGGGCTTCGGTCGTTTCAACTTCCGTGCACCAGAGAACCGGAACGGCCCCCCGGGCCCGCCACGTCAAGTGGTGCCCCCAGGCATGATGCCCGGACAGCATCATGGGCCGCCGCCTGCTCAAGACCACCTCCCGCATTTCCTTCCACGCTGCGGCTGCCCGGAATGTACCAAGGAGACCGATCGCACCGACTTGTCACCGTTCGCGGGCTTTGACGACGTCAACCCGCTGACATCGCCAGCCCCTACTTCCGATATCTTCTACATTGCCTGCACCAACATCATTCCGGCCTTCCTTCTCGGCGATCGCCGTTGGGGCCACTTGAACCTCGACCACGTGAAGCCCGTCATCACGGACCGTGAGGCATTCAAGTATCTCGTCCTAGACGACGAGATCAAAATGACAGTCAAGGCCCTCATCGGCAAGTTCGCGGCAGCAGAATCCGGAAAGGTCTCACCGTGGGCCAACGACTTTATCAAGAACAAGGGCGAGGGCCGCATCTTCCTCCTCCATGGCGCCCCGGGCGTCGGCAAGACCTGCACCGCCGAGTGTGTCGCAGAGTTGACCAACAGACCTCTCATCTCCCTCACCTCGGGCGACCTCAGCGTCAACTCGCACAGCGTGGAACACAACCTGTCCTACTTCCTCGAGCTGGGCCAGCGCTTCGGCGCTCTCGTCCTCCTCGACGAGGCGGATGTTTACCTCGAGCGCCGCCGCGCAAAGGACATCGCCCGTAACGGCCTCGTCTCAGTGTTCCTCCGCGCGCTCGAGTACTACCGCGGCGTGCTCTTCCTGACCACAAACCGCGTCCAGGCGTTCGACGCGGCCTTCACCTCGCGCATCCACGTCGCGCTGCATTACAAGAACCTGACGGACGTTGACCGCGAGCGCATCTGGGCCAACAACTTTGAGCGCCTCGACAGAGACTCGCACGGCCGCGTGCGTGTTGCCATCGCTACGCGCGAGTACGCCTACGACTCACGCGATGTGCGCGCTCTGCGCTGGAACGGCCGTGAGATCCGCAACGCGCTGCAGACCGCGCTTGCGCTTGCCGAGAGCGATGCTGCGGAGGAGGGAACTGACCGTATCTGCGTTACGGACAAGCACCTGCGGGCTGTGGTCAAGATGAGCCGCGGCTTCAGGGACTACCTTCGTAGTGGAAGTGTTTATGATGGAGAGAGCGAGGTCGGTGAGAGTGAGGGGGAGGAAGGGGATATTTATTCTGACTGAGCTTCCGTGTTTGGGTGTTTCTTGACGAAACTGAGCAGTTTTGAACTCGTTCTGGTGGCCTTTTGACTTGTAGGTTGGTTATTCACGAGGACTACGATAAGACTGACATGATGAACGCTGGATATTGGATAGTTAGAACAACTTTGATGACTGTACCGAGGAATTGTCAGAGACCTTCAGGTGATTCGACTATAAACTATCTCATCCCTCCTTACTCACCTCCCAAATAAATACCCCCCAGTACTCGTCTTCTTGCACAAGTCTCAAACCATGAACCAGAAGCACTCACACATCTCAATTCAACACAGGCCTCCACCCCTTCCTCCTCACAAACCCCTCAACACCCTCATCCCTCAAAACCTCACCCCCCCTCCGTCCCGTCACAACGCTCCTCTCAACGTCGGGACCTCTAACGTAGAACGGAAACCTTAGCCTCCCGCTCTCATCAACCTCCTCTTTCTTTCTACCGCCACATTCTTTGATCCCTTGACCGTTAACATCACCACCATCATTACCGTGCCTCAGAACCCAAACCCTCTTCCCCCCAATACTCCTCCTCTCAAAACCGCACGCCTCCCGATCGAGCGAAAGGTACCACCGCCGCTGATACACGCTCCCGACGCTATTCTCGGCGCCCCGATACGCGTTCGTCCTCCTCACAAACTCGTCTTCCACCTCCCGAATCTCCCTCTCCACAGCGGACAGCTTCTCGTCCTCCCCCTCGCCATCACCATCACCGCCGTCGTGGCCACCATCAAGCGGATCAGGAACAACATCCCCGTCCCCGTCGTCGCCAGACGCCCCCTCAGAACTAGTCTCGACAACTTCCTTCTTCATCTGCTTTCCACCACCACCCCGCCTCCTCTTCCTCATAGGCCTCCCCATCGTCCTCGCACTCTTCCTCCTCCCCTTCGCGTCCTCCCCCTTGGTCAATCTCAGATTCAACACGTATCTTTCAGGAAGCCGACTCCCATGCAACCTCACCCGAATCTTCCTCTCCCCAAACGCCCTCGCCAACTTTTCCTGCTCCGTCATCCCCCCCTCCCCCTCATCATCGTCATCGCTACCATCATCCCCGCCAGAATCAGGATCAACCTCCGGCCCTCTCCCCTTCCCCCCTTTCCCGCCTTTTCCCCTCTCCAAAACCTCGTACCACCCACAATCCCAAATCACCAAACTCCCCGTGCCCCCACTCCCGACCTCAACAACATGATTCCAAAGACAATGCACCCTCGTCTCCGTCGCATTCCGATTCAACCTCTTGGAGTTGGCGTCCCCGGGTAACCCGTACATCACCGCCCAGCTTACGCTGCTCGTCGCGTTCACCTGCAGCCGGAGGTCATAGTGCACGCCCGCGATCGGGTGGTCGTGCTGGTGCACCACAAAGTGCGCGCCCCGCCCCGAGCCGACGTGCGAGAGGAAGAGGGAGCGCAGGTCGTCGTCGGCGGAGAGGTGCGGCGTATGGGCAGGGTAAGGATGGAGGGTATGTTGTGCCAGGTGGGCGAAGAAGTGCGCTGCCGGGTCAGGTTGCGTTGCGGCGCCGGACTCTAACGCTGCTGAGAGGCTTGTAGTAGTCTCGGGCTTGATCTTGGGCTCAATTTCGGGATCGTGCTCAGGCTCGCGGGGTGGTGAATCCGGCATCACAACCACACCTCGACTCAGCCCGTCGTCGACTGTAGTATCCCGTACCTCCAACTCCTCATCTTCTCCACTCTTCTCTCCTTCTTTGCCATAATCAGTCTTTAACCCCGGCACATCAAGCGACCATTCTAAATTGCGCTTCTTGATAAACGGGTTCTCAATGAAACTCGCACTCGGTGGCCGTTTTGATGCCATGGCCCCTGCCTGCCTGCCTGCCTGGTGGAGCGGGCTACTGAGCAGGTCGGAACGGACCAGCTCTGGAAAAACGGGATCGCAATCTTTAAGAGTGCATAAATGGATGCTGAAATACTATTGAAGATATTTCCCCGAATAAAGACGGCAAATCAACATCATCGAGAGGCTTGTAAGATGGCTTACATGGTACTGGTAAAAGCGACAAAAACCACCAAAAGTTGGCATGTCGTTGCACGGACCCCACTTGCTTCCGTCAGCACCCGGCATGCCGATCATGAAGGGCCCGGCCTCCGGTTTACTGCCGCCATCTGATGATTAAAAAAAATCACAAAACCTGCCAGACCAAAACGAACCACATGAATGGGGCACTTCATTCAGATGACTATAGAGATATCGCTACATAGCCCTTGTTATACCCTTACAACGCCTTGCCATGCAAACAAATTCGTTCGCGAGTGCGACCTTCGCGCGAGTTTCCGTTACCTCTAGTCCGACCTTTCAAGGCTTCCACCGCCCATCAGAGCTCGCACTATTTGCTTCATTCCCATGTGTTCCAACTAAGCAACGCTTTTCCCCATGTTTGATTGTACAAGACAAGATTCGAACACTCATACATAAGCCAGTATCCTCTACGGCCTCTGCTCCACCAGGGTAGGCGCGATTCGTCTCTTCTTGGGCTCGCTGCCCTCTTCCTTCTCTCCCTCACTTGCCTCACGTTTGGTTCCGCTTGCTGCTGTACCGGCAGTCGATGCAGCCGGTGTCGGGTTTGTGGCAGCATTGGTCCTCGGCGTCTCTGGCGGCGTGGTGATGGGGACGCCTGTGACCTTGGTGGAGTTCGCGACAGCAATGCCAGGCACGCTGCCTACAATCAATGAGGGATTCGTTACCACATTCGATGACTGAGTCGCCACGGACGAAGTAGAGTTTGATCGAGCGGGGGACTGAGGTCGCTGGCTGACAAACCCAGCGGGTGGTGGCGATGGAGCGGTAAAAGAGCTCGCCGAGTTTCGATGATGGTGACCTGAGCCATTTGGAAATGGAGACGGAGGGGCGAATGCTGAGCTTGGAGCAGGGACCGGAGTAGTTTGACTCGACGATGTCGCTCCGGTGGTTCCAGCGGTTGGATTCTTGGCAGTAGGCAGTTCCCCTTGATAGATCTGGCCTAGCTCACCAGGTGAGAAAGACAAGGTCGAACAGAATCCATCAGAGGATGAAACCAAAAGAGTGAGGCCGTCGCTTGACCTTTGCATATTGTTAGCTTTGTCTCAATTCAGGGTGGAACAAAGAATACTTACCAAGCAAGATCAGTGAATGTGGCACAGTGAAGATTGCTGACTATGCAGATAGGTGTCTGCTGCTGAGAATCGTAAAGAAGGACGGCGTCTTGAGTCGCAACAGCGTATATCATCCTGTAAGGTAGGGCAAAGGCCGCCTTGGGGCCAGGGGTAGAGGCGCTAATTTCGGCCTTGTTTGGTGTAGAACCAGACTCGGGGGCCGAGGTTGGCGGCGGAGGCGGATCCATGACCGAAGTAGATGTCACCGGCTTCGAGACCGGTTCAGGCAGTGCCGGAATAGGATCTTCAGAGGATGAAGTATCGATGGTGATATGCTTGGTGACGGGAGGCGATGTCCGCAATGAGTAAAAGACGGGTGAGCACTTCACCACAACAGAAGGCTTCTTGTGACCGGGCAAGTGTGCAATCGGCGCCTTGTTGATGCCACCTCTCGTGTAAATGTAGACTGTGTTGGTGACCTCAAATGTCGGCTTCGCATTTCCTTCTGAGCTGTGTTGAGTCTGGTACTGGCCAGCTGGAGTGAGCAGAAGACTGCCGTCTGGGGTGAAGGTCAAGCGTCGGAAAAAGGATGAGAGCGTCTCGTTGGCATAGAGTGTCGAGTTCTTCATACCAAGGCCACCGGAAGGGTGAGGCTTTGGCGATGGCTCCATGGGCATTACAGCTGGGAGCGGCATTGACGGAGCCGGAGAAGGCGACCGTCTAGACGAGAATGACGATCTCCTGCTATGGCTAATCACACTGGGCGGGTTCATCGGCAATGCGATTGAGGTGGGAGTTCCGGGGGCGGAGGGGACCGGGGATCCAATGGCCTGTTCAACAGTAAGGTGGGTCCTCATGCCAAAGTCAGGAGGTGCAGGGCTGCTGGAGGATATGCGGCGTGGCGGCAAGTCACTCTTGTTATGGCTTGCAATCTTGGAGGGCTTGTCGTCGTGGTTGCCGCTCAGTGTATGCTGTCCATCCTTTGTTTTCAAGGAATAGATGTGAACGGATCGGTCGGAGGACTGGGTTGCAATGTACTCGTTCAAAGGATCCCATGCGACACCTTGGACGTAATGGCTGTGCTCGGCAATCTGGCGCACAAGAGTACCTGTTCTTGTTAGATACGAGTGTGGAATACGCTATCACCAGCGGAGAAACATACCAGAGCTGGCATTGTAGATTCGAGCAATGTTGTCCATGCTTCCGATGATGAAGTAGGAGCTATCAGGAGACCAGGCAAGGTCGTAAATCTCGGATCCGCTAGATCGACACATGTGCTTGGTTCTCCATGTCTCCTTATCCTCGAGGCCCTCGTTGCCAAAGGCAGGGCCGCTATGTTCGGACATGACCCATATGATGACATTGCCGTCGTCGCCAGCGGAAGCGAGGATCTCACCTGAGCAAGGAGGGGGAAAAATCAGCCAAATGCAAAATGAGGCGTCTGGAATTGGCTTCTTACCTTTGGGGGCCCATCGAACAACATTGACTGCTTGTGTATGCTTGCTCAAGGTGGACAAGTAGTCGACCTTTCGATCTTCTCCATCGCTGTCTACCTTCCAGAGCTGATGTTTGTGTCAGCATCGCAGCGCAGGGTCACGCGTGGGACTGGGTGGCATGCTCGCCAGTTCAGGCGTCTGACGTACTCTCACGTTATTATCTCCTCCAGCCGTAGCTAGTCGACCCTTGCCGTTGGGCTCGAAATGGGCCGAGTAGACTGGGGCATTCTGGTCATGCCAATTGATGATAAGCGGCGTGCTCTTCATCGTGACTGAGTGTGTATACGGCCGTCTCGAGACATGTGCAGGATCGTGGGTGGTCGTGGGCAGGTTTGGTTTGGGTGATGATGGCGCTCGTACGATGGGGGAATTTGGCGGATGGAATACGGGCCGTGCTGGATGATGTCGAGGAGAGCTTATCGGGGGAGTAAGAAAATCCGATGGTCGATTCGAGTCGGGAAGCTTCGTTCGTGCTCGCGGTGGGATGAGGTTGGATGAGGGGCGGGTAGGCTGAGGAGGTCGAGCTTCTCCTTAGCTCGGCAACAACAGCTCGGGAGATTGGCCGACGGGCAACAGCTCCTTTGCAGCAGCGTCGATTCGCAGCTGCTTAGCGGGAAACCTCAATGGGCGGATTTGATTTGGGGCGGAGGGGTTGGATTGGCAAGACGTTTAGCACCGCGTGGAACGACACACACGAGGACCTGTTTTTGGAACAGTATGGATAGAGAGGGAGGATAAAGAAGAAAAGAGGGAAAATGGGAAATCAATTAAACTTGGCAGGGAATTGTCACGAGGGCGCAAGAATGGATGAAATGTCGTTCCCGAGCAGGGCAAGGTGGAGTTTGGTGTGGTTTGGTTCGGCGTACAGGAGCTCAGACGGCTCCAACGCACGCGCTGTTGCAGGGACAGGAAGGAGCTGGACTTCCCGGGCACCCATTGATTGCCCGCCTGTACGAATACCAGGCTGGTGTTTTCCGCCGCAAAACCACCCCAAAGTTTGACGGTACCTTGGTGGCGTGGTAGGCTCTCCAGCCGCTACAACAACCAGACATGCAGAGCCTGTCGCGACTGCAGCGCCCAGCATCGGCATCATTTTAGCGTATCTACCTACCTTCGGTGGGCTCTGCACCTCGAAAAAATCGGGGAGAGCAGCCATGAGCAGGGAAACGGCAGGGAAGCTGCTCGCCATAAGGCGCACGGGTCGTGCGTTTGACCAATCAGACAGCTCCATCAGAGAAAGCCTTTGAGGGAGCAACCCACTGTTTGGCTCATCCAGCCTCATCTGATTGGCTACAAACGTTTCTCAAGATGCTTTCGATTGGGCCCAGTCTTTGGAGTTTGAACAGAGCGTGAATCTTTTCTTCTTCTTTTTCTGCTTCGGTAGATAATTTTCAGTGCAAAGGATGCATTCCGAGCAAACATTAGTCCCAAATTAGGCACATTCAAATCAGGCTGCCATGCCACCTCAGCCTTTCAACTTTCGTTACCACCGAGGAATAGCCGTATCTCATCACCAGACTCATCACTCAGGGCGCAACCTCAGCTTATCGCATACCTTTCTACTCGTTGTGATTGGCTAGAACTGCATGCGCTGCAAGGTGTTGGGGAGGGGAGGATCGCCGTACTCGTGGGCAGTTTTGAGGCAATCGGCGCAACACCTCGAAACGAAGGGACTTTTTGCACTGATTCCGACGAACCCATACCCGTAGGATTCTCTGATTCAAATTTATCGGGGGGCCCATTGACCTTTTTGCCTGATAATTGCACCAGTTCCTTCTTGTTTTAATTCTTCTGCTGACAATGCTCTCATTCTTTCAACTGTCTAACCATATATACCTAGGTAGTTGCCGATGAGTTGAATCTTGATCCGCAAATGTGTCTTGGCAGAGGCATACCTCGCTCAACAATTGGTTTTCTTCCAAAGAGTGTGTGAATTTCATCGAACAATGGAAGGGCATTGCAATGTTATCCTTAAGTAGGTACCTATTTGACCATCCTTGGCTCCCTATCATCAGCGTCAGATTTCTGCGCACCAGTACCTTACACACAGGGCTGAGGCTCCCCGCCAATGAATGCACGTCTAATACAGATTGCTCATTGGGAATTTCCACTTTGTTCTCCATCTTCGAACCCATGGAACTCTCAAGCGCCTCGCTTGGCTCCCTTCCCTTCCGCTTTGTTAGCGTCGCGAAGGACCTCCAATCATCACTATTGGTACGCTTTGGGGCTGTACCTGACATTTGTTTTTTAAGGGATGCATTTGACTGATGCCTCCAACTCATCGTGAACTCTTTCCTCTCTATTAGATAACCTCGAATTTGAGAAAGACTTCGTCATTGGCGCTTTGCAGCCCCGACGGCCTGGTCCACAACGCAGGCTACCATACCCGAGCTTCAGCCCTGTTTCATTGGCGCCGGTTGCAACGGAAAGAGGAAAACCCTTACAGTGTCGCAGCCAGAAGGGTAGTCTGGCGGATTAGCAATGGCTTGCAAATGTCGGTCGGTTTCAACCGTCAGGCATGAGGAGAGAGCATCCAATGCCATCAGCACAGTCATACCTAACGTCGGGGGAGCGTTCGTCCGTTTGAGTCAAATCATGACGGACAACGTCTGCCTCACAATGTAACCACTTTAGTACCGGACAGTGACACCACCTCCAAACGCAGATTCTATTGTCAACAACCCGCCGCCGCCTGACATCGCCAAGAAAACCTGCAACCGCGTTGGCGGTGAGCAATAGGTAACGCAAGCACCGCAGGCTCCAAAGTCGCTGGGCTCATCCAATCGCAGACTTTTACTTAATGAACAGGATGGGAGCCTCCAAATCGAAGCAGCTGTTACACGGCGCCCGCATTCGCCCGCATGCATACCGTAAGGTAGAATTTGGGCAATTCCCTCAGGGATAAGCCGCGCCCTCGGTCAGTTTTGTCTACAGGTGAGGAGGTTGCAGGCTAGCTACGTCGCCATAGTTCTTCGCCGATGAGACTCACTCGCCGCGACGATGTGCGAGTCGTAACACACACGCACCACCAGAAAAAAAAAATTGGCCCGGTCTTATGTCACACCAAAACATTTCCGTTTCGAAACGTCAAATCGACCCAGTGTTTGATGTTGCACATCTCATGTCTCTCTCACTGTTTACGCAGTACGGCCCGCTCCAGCCCACATGCCGAATGAGTAGCAGGCGCATCATCATGAGTCGATTCGGATTGACACCTCCTTGAATGTTCATATCTGATTGAGAATTAGAAGATGGAATGACGACGGCGAGTTAGATCCGCGGCGGCGGCCGAGGTGTCGTCGGCTGCGCGATCCAACACAGGCAAAAGCCCCGGTGCGGGGAGGGGGAGATGGTCTGGCAGCCTTGGCAAGGCAGCAAAGTCCCCGAGCAGCCGCGTCTTCTTCCAACGACATTCCATCACATCGGGCGAAAGCAAGGTGAGGGATCGGACTGCCAGAAGCCTGGGCCTGGAATTGATCGAGATGGGAAGGTCCTGATTGATACCTGCTGATAAAGAAGAGCTCATGGGATCGAAAAAGGGACGAGAGATTGGCACGTGGCGTCGTATCCTGCGGCACAGTACTTTGTTTCTCATCTCTTTGGAAGGAAGCCAGTCAGCACCTTGCGGTGTCATATGGAAAGCTCGCGGCTAGAGAACAAGGACTAGGAAGAAATGTGATAAGAATGAGGTGCATGTAGTATACACAGTAACGTAAGGTAGGTAACTTAGTAGGGCGGTAATGGATGCCGAGCGCAGGTAAACGAGATGGTGTGTCAGCGGCTGCCTGGACTTTGAGACCTCCATGACTTTTGAGGCAGGTTCGAGGGTTAGGTGAGTACGTTCGTCAACATAGGTAGGTAGGAGGGAAAAACGAAACCCTCGAACAACAACAACCCATGCTTGCCGATTATGCGTCATTGTTCCTATCTCCTTGCCAATGTAGGCAACGAACACAGATGGTCTCTATCCGTCCATAGACACACGGAAAAACTTCCTCAGTTCCTGCAGCCGTCAGGTAGCCGCTCAAACCGAAATGGACCTTTCCTGCACGCAACTACAGACCAGGCCCAATCTCTCAGGACTCGGAAGTGACGACAGATCTCTCTTCGTCGAGTTGCAAGTTGCAAACACGCTAGTGGAACGGGCCCGTGACAGAACAGAAGCACAGGGCAGGAGCAGTCAGCATTTAGCGGACGGCAGGAATGGAAGCGGGAAGCGGGAGAAACGGTTCCCATCACACGACTGCCCGATGATGGACTCCAAAGTCGAGACTGTGAGGTGGAGAATCCCAATTGGCAATTGGCGACTGGCAAAAACCATCTGGGCCCGGCGTGGCTGGCGGAAGACCCACATCCCATGATTTGCTAGTCTGACCGCCCTTCCCAAAAATCCCCTCCCCAGTTCAATGGAAACCTCCCATGATCCATGACCGAAATCCTGCGGCGCAGTCCCGCCCATGCAAATTAGAGCCTCCCAGACTCCCACCACCTGGCACCCGCGCGCCCCCTCTCTACAAACTCTCCTTCCTAATCCAGCACTATGACTGGACTCTGTGAGTCTTTTGAGATTACGGATACCAAGTCTCGGATTCAGCTTTGAGTCTCGACGAGGGGATCCGGCTGGCCGGCAGGCAAGGTAGCAGGCGGGGTTGCAGGCGCAGCTTCTTTGCTTCGAGAATCGAGATCAATGATGGATGACGAATCAGACGAGTTTGGCATCCTTCCCGACCGGCTGGGGCAGGGCAGAAACACCGCGTCGTAGGTACGACCGAGTACAGTATGCGCTTTTCATCCTCTGCGCCCGGGCAATTGGGAGGGGAAAACAGACAACGGTCAACGAATTCGACGCTCTCTCTTTCTCGATTGATGACAGAATACGGGGTTCGTGCCAGAATAGTAACCCAGCGAGGCTACGTCTGCGCTTTGGCTCGCCGTTCGCCGAGGAAGAGAGCTGCTGCAACTTGTTTTTCATTCTGCAGGCATGCGCATCCGGCCATGTTAGTGCAGGATGACTGCATTGGGGCTAATGCACTAACAAGGAACGTCAACCGCGAGAGGCTCGCCCCCTTCTGTTTAGATTGGTACGAGTATCCGCCCTTTCTTCCCTTCTGTTTCTCTACTTGTATTGTTGCGACTTGCATGCGTGAAATAGGTACTTTGTTCAATCAGTCAGTCTCTCATTCACCAGCCAGCCACCCACAAGGAAGAGCAAGCACAAAAGCATGAGGTGCTACACTAGGCCACCCACCCCGGGCCGCCGTATCAGCACCTAGGGTCCACGAGAGGAACTTCTGCCAGGTTGAAACTCCACATCCGCGCCGCCACCCCTCCATCTGGCATCGCTTGGATTTTTTTTTCCTTTCCTCAATTGAACTGATCTGCCAGACTACCACATTGCACATTGTCACCATCTGGCTTGTCCCTTGTCTCCCTTCTTCCCGCCGATGAGTCAAACGGCGAAACGGCGTCGTCGGCCAACCACCGCGCCCGGAGCCGACAGGGTGGGGGAAAAGGCCCTCGAGTCTTGACATGGTGACATGGTTCATGGATTGGAAGGCAGTTACGGTGGCAGGCCGCGGGTACCATAAATCGATTTTCGTATACCTATTCGAAAGGGCGTGTTTGACAATTGAGAGAGGAGCTAAAGTGTCCCGTCGGCTACATTTGCCACCGAGCAATACACTAAGTTGTCGCTCTCTCTGATGCCTTGAGAAATGTCATCGTTGTCATTGTCGTCGTTGACGTTGGTTGCCTAGGGCCCGGATAGGCGACAGCGCCATGCCCGCGTCTGACGCATGTCGGATAATCTGCAAAGACGCGGCAGAGTGATGCAGGTCGAGGTACTGCGCAGTAGGGTTGAGGCAGGTCAGGGATGGGGACGTCACGATGCGGATGGCGAGATCAGAGTTGGGTTCCCGAGTGCATCGCAAAGTGGGGGGTTCAAGAAGGGGGTGCTGGTGAACTGTCAAGACCGTGAAGCATCATTTGAGTGGTGAATTGGGGATGTGAAGATGGGGTTGGCATTGGCAAGATGGGATCCCAGTGCTCGGTGCACCCACCAGCTTGATCCCAGTCAGCAAAAAAAAAAAAAAAAAAAAAAAAAAAAAAAAGGCGGCATTGCAGGGGATGGGGGATGCGCGCGCACGCCGCCGCCAACTGGCCGGGGTGTGTCATGGTGTGTGGTGTCCACCTGAACTGAGTCTTGTCTTTCCGGATTCCTAGATCGAAAAAAGAATGCAAGCTGCGAAATGCAAAATGCGGCACGCTATCTTGGTCCAGTGGCCAATGGCATCAGCCGCTTGCAACCGGGCAGGCAGCATCGGGGGGGGGGGGGGGCGTGCGAGGTTGTCTGGGGTGAAGCCGTAAGCTTCATGAGAAAATGCCTACCAGGTAATTATCCGTAAGGTGAGAGGTACGGTAAGGTAGGTAGGTAGAATGAATTGGATGGGTAAGCAAGACGCGGAACCAGAAGCGGCTCCTCTTTCCTCTCCTCGACCTTGCCAATTGATCGAATAATACCTTGCCTACCGGGGCAGTAGTTACATACCTTACTACTCAACAATTGTAGATTTCTCTCCCCCCTTCATCATTTTTCTTCTTAAATCCTGAGGCTTCCGCTTTTCTGGCGTCCGTTCAATCTTGGCTTCCCCCGTTCCGCCGTTCTTCCCCCCCTTCCCTTTGGCCCCCCATTTCCCCCGCCGTTCTCCGTCCCCCGTGTGTCTCCAATTTCCAAGCTGCCGCATCGCACCGCACCGCACCGAAAACCCGTGCATGGTCGAAGAGGCGCGCAGAGACCAGCGACGTCAGCGAAACGAAGCTTTGAGACTGCATCACCCCCACCGGCTCCGTATCGGCGCCCACTAAGCCGAACCACGCAATCTTCTTCGTTTCCTCAGTGTTTCCTTTGCGCAATCGCCATCATTCTTTCGACGAGGGAAAAGCCCATCCTTCCCCTGGCTTTTCCCACCCAGGCAAGTTGCTGAAACCTGTGACCAGCGCAAACAATCTGCGTTTCTTCGAGCCCCGGCCCGCCATCCGAATTGGAGAAGCCGAAAGCAGAATTGCCCCGACGTCAGCACTTTTTTAGCGGTGTCGAGTACCTTACTCGAGGTACCAGATTTGGGCTTCAAAGGAACTGGAGAGTCCTTGCCGATTTGGAACTGCAGTCTCCAAAAGGCAGCAGCTTACCAACCAACTCGGGCCTCATTGTGGATCTCCCGACCGGCTCTTCGCGCCGTTTTTTTTTTCTTAAAGCCGCCACACCAACGAAGGTGCATCGCATCGTAAGCTTCCGCTTGCGACCCGGTTCATTTTCCCAAACGTCAACTGCGGTCAATTCTCAACCTCGGAATTCGACCTGTGAAGATAAGTCATTCAGACTTCTCGCCCATATTTTGGTGCCATCATGCAAGATGAATCACTCTTGTTCATAGAGGTCGGAGCTGCTTTGGGCGTCATTGCTCTTACTTCAGTTCCGGCCCTCACAGGACTCGTCCAACAACTTCGATCCCGCAAACCCAAGGATCACTTCTACGAAGACAAGGACGGAAAAGCCACGGCCGAGTCATCTGCCGCCTTTTCCAACCGCTGGCCCAAGACATTCATCTTCTTATTCGCCTTCCTGGGTCTGGCCGTCTCGTTGGCAAACTCCATCCTGGCGACGCTCTCACTTCACACCGGTAAATACGACAATTTGTTCATTGCAGAATGGATTTCAACTGGTATTTCGGTAGGCAAACTCCCTCCTCGCGAAGCCTCCTTTGGTTGAATGCTGACATGAACCAGATTCTGTTGGCCTTCCAAGCCGTGGCCATCGTTGCCTCAAATGACTCCGTACAAGCCTACAGCCTCGGCTTGTGGCTCTGGCTTTCCGGTTTGATCTTCGCTGGCGTCCAGATCTTGCAGGACACCAAAGTGTTTGATGAGCTTCTGTCCAACAACCCCGTTTCCTTCGGCCTCAAACTTGCGAGCCTGGTCCTCACTGTGGGTCTCATTGTGACGAGCGTCACTCTGCCCAGGAGACCGGATGTCTACTTTGAGAACAGGATGGTCGACCGCCTTAGGACGGTCCCTGCCTACAGCCGCTTCACCTGGGGCTGGTGCAGCGGAATCATCGACCTGGCCACCAAGAAGAAGGATCTTGATGCGTCTGACCTGCCTAAGCCGGACCACTGGACCCGTTCCGAAGACTCGGCTGCATCATGGAAGTCGTACAACTTCCAGCCCGATTCCAGCCTGTGGTGGTCCATCATTTGGGCGTACCGGGTGCCTCTGTTCGTCCAATGGTCCATTGCTATTTCCAAGGCCTTCTTGAGTCTTGCCCCGTCATGGATCACGCTACAAATCCTTGAGACCCTTCAACGTAGAAAGCCTGGTGAAGATCTCCCTGCCGATATCTGGATCTTGGTCTTTTGGCTTGGTCTGGCTATTCTGGCCGATGCTTGGGTTGAGGCGACCATGTTCTGGCTGTCTTGGGCCGAGCTCTGCATTCCCCTCAGAGGCGCTCTCTCTGCCCTCATCTTTGAGAAGTCGATGCGCAGGAAGAACGTCAAGGCGGCCTCCAAGCAGGAAGCCGAAGAGAAGGAGGATGATGCCAAGCCAAAGGATGACAAGAAGAAGAAATCTGATGAAGAAGAGGCCGAAGACGACAACGTGCTCAAGTCGAAGCAAGCCATCATCAATCTGATTGGCGTCGACGCCAAGCGCATTTCCGATTTCGCCGCCTTCCAGTTCCTCTTCCCGTCCAGCGCTGCCAAGCTCCTCGTTGCCATCTGGTTCCTCGTTTATTTGCTTGGCTGGGGACCCCTCGGTGCCGGGTTGCTCGCGTGGGCCATCCTTCTTCCCATCAACTTCTCGTACGCCAAGGTGTACTCTAAGGCTCAGGATAAGCTCATGAAGATTCGTGATCAAAAGCTGGCCGTCGTCAACGAGGCCCTCGTAGGCATGCGCCAAATCAAGTTTTCCGCACTCGAGCCTCAGTGGGAGAAGCGCATCCTGGCCATGCGAGAGAAGGAACTCGGTGCCCTCTGGCAGGTTTTCAAGGGTGACACCGTGCTCTTTGGCATGTGGATCACCAGCCCCATTGCCCTGGCCGCTGTTTCCCTGGCTGTGTATGCATGGCTCAACGGTACCTTGATCCCATCTGTTGCCTTTGTCAGTATCGGCGTCTTCAAGAACCTCGAGGTCACTCTCGCTGTCCTTCCCGAGCTTATCACTGATGTCATCGATGCCAACATCTCTGTCAAGAGAATGCAGGACTACCTGAACGGACCTGAGAAGACCAAGACTGTGACCGAGGGACCTGATGTTGCCTTCGAGAACGCCACTATCGCGTGGCCCGTCGACGACGAGACTAAGGACGAGGACAGGTTCATCCTCCGTAACGTTGACGTCACTTTTCCCGCTGGCGAGTTGTCCGTCATCTCTGGCAAGACTGGTACCGGTAAGAGTCTGATGCTGGCTGCCGTCCTTGGCGAGTCGGATCTCCTATCCGGTACAATCTACGCGCCGAAGCCGCCCTCAATCAAAGAGAGAAACGATGACAAGGCCAATCGTGGCAACTGGATTATCCCGAGCGGCATTTCCTTCGTCGGCCAGATTCCGTGGATCGAGAATGCCACACTCAAGAGCAACATTCTTTTCGGACTTCCCTTCGACGAGGAGAGGTACAACCAAACGATCGAGGCATGCGCCTTGAAGAAGGATTTGGAGATGCTTGCAGATGGTGACAGAACCGAGTTGGGAGCCAACGGTATCAACCTCAGTGGTGGTCAGAAGTGGCGCCTCACCCTCGCCAGAGCCATCTACTCTCGTGCCGGCATTCTTGTCCTCGACGACATTTTCTCCGCTGTTGATGCCCATGTCGGTCGCCACATCTACGAAAAGTGTCTCACTGGCGACCTCTGCCAGGGCCGAACCCGAATCCTCGTCACTCACCACGTCGCTCTCTGCGAGCCCCGGACTAAGTTCATCGTCGAGCTGGGTGACGGCACTGTCCAGCACTCCGGTTTCCTGTCCGAGCTGACTGAGGATGGAACGCTACAGATGATCAAGAGCCACGAGCAGACTTCCCAGGAGATTGCGGATGAAGAGGCCACTGCGGTCAATTCTGAAGAGGCTTCTGATGTCGAGATCCCCGAGGTTGCTGAGCTCAACGGAGATGGCGGTATCTTGAAGAAGGTTCCCTCAAAGGCTGCACGTGCGTTTGTCGAGGATGAGGCCCGCGAAAAGGGCTCTATCAAGAAGCATGTCTACGCTGCGTACTTGAGCCAGAGTGGTGGCTTGCCCTGGTGGGGATTCGGCTTCCTTCTTTTCGTCATCTACCAATTTGTCGTCATTGGTGAGTTCCATTTGCATGACGTTTTACATACATGGTGCTAACAACTGAACAGGACGGTCATGGTGGCTTCGAATTTGGACTGGCACATCGGAGCAGTCCATCAAGACCTTCGGTCAGCAACCGCAACACCAATATGCCTACGCCTTCACCCTTCAGCACAGCGAGCTTCACGTGCCATCAAACAACACCGTCAGCATCAACATGGACAAGGACACTATGTTCTACCTGGGTATCTACGTCGGTATTTCTGCCTTCTCCGCCATTCTCGGTACAGGCCGTTTCTTCTACTTCTTCGTGATGAGCTACAAGGCTAGTCGTCGCATGTTTGAGGGTATCACCAGAACCGTGCTCCGCACCCCGCTCCGATGGCTCGATACCGTTCCCACCGGCCGCGTGCTGAACCGTTTCACCGCCGATTTTAACGTCATTGACAACAGGCTCGGCATGGATCTTTCTGGCGTCTTTGGCGCCTTCCTCAGCGTCATTGGAATTTGCGTCACCGCCTTCTACGTCTCGCCACTCATCATCCCCCTGGCCTTTGTCCTGCTCCTCATTGCCGTCTGGATCGCCATGCGCTACCTCGCGGGCGCCAGACCGGCCAAGAGACTGGAGAGCACGACAAAGTCCCCCATCTTTGACCTCTTTGGCTCCACGCTCGTCGGCATGATGACCATCCGCGGTTCCGACAAGGCCCAGACGTACATCGACTCCATGTACTCCCGCCTCGACGATTACGGCATGGCCTCCTGGCACCTGTGGCTCTTCAACCGCTGGATGGGCTGGCGCATGTCACTCATCGGTGCCATGTTCTCCACCGCCGTCGGCTTCGTCGTCCTTGGCAGCCCCTCGATGGGCGCCGCCCTCGCCGGTTTCACGCTCTCCTTTGCTCTCGAGTTTTCTCAGGCCATTGTCTGGTCCATCCGCCACTACGCCAACATTGAACTCGACATGAATGCCGCGGAGCGCGTCGTCGAGTATTCGGACCTGAAGACTGAGGACCAGGGTGGCGTCGAGCCCCCCGCGACATGGCCCACCGAGGGCAAGCTCGAGGTCAAGGACCTTGTCGTAAGCTACGCCGAGGACCTCTCCCCCGTCCTCAAGGGCCTCACCTTTAGCGTCAAGAAGAAC